TGCAGCGGGCACCAGGCGACCATCAATATTCGTGGTGTGGCCGAAGCTCGGCGAGGAGCCGGGGCCGCAGCAGCAGCCGCCACCAGCAGAGCGCCGCCCGGGTCGTGTTTGTCTGTGGCGGTCGCGGTGCAGGTGGCGCCTGCAGGCGGGTGGTCCGTTATTAAAACGGCGTTATCTGCGCGTCACTGCACGGTAAACAGCATTAACACGCTCTCCGCCACACTCTGTTGCAGGACGCGCAGGCATGTCGCCACCCCCCTGACGCCGTCCTCGAAGGCCCTCCGCGGGCCGCTCGCGCCCTCTGCCGCCATGACGACCATGCTGATGACGACCATGACCAGCATCCTGGCGTCGTCCGAGATGTACGCGGTCGACTACGCCAACGGCAGCGACCAGAACATGACGCACGGCAACGACTCGTTCTCGTGCAACGTCGACATGCCGCCCACCGCCATAAGGCAGGCCATGGGATACTTCTCCATGGTGAGTACTCTATTTTACAGGCTCTGTGAATGACACGAAAGAAATCTTTATGCGGATGTGGGGCACGTACTGAATGTGTGGGAAATTATATTTCTGCAATTACCTGTTTCGTTTAGGCCCTGTACTTGGTGGTGTGCATCGTGGGACTGCTGGGCAACACGCTCGTCATCTACGTTGTGCTGCGCTACTCCAAGATGCAGACCGTCACCAACATGTACATTGTCAACCTGGCCGTGGCGGACGAGTGCTTCCTCATCGGCATCCCCTTTCTCTTCACCACCATGCTCCTGGAGCGGTGGCCCTTCGGCAACGGCATGTGCAAGGTGTACATGACCACCACCTCCATTAACCAGTTTACCTCGTCCATCTTCCTGACGATTATGAGCGCGGACCGGTACGTGGCCGTGTGCCACCCGATCTCGTCGCCCCGAGTGCGGACACCTTTCATCTCCAAGGTGGTGTCGCTGACGGCGTGGACGGCCTCGGCGCTGCTCATGGTGCCCGTGTTCATGTACGCGAGCGAGATGGAGCGGGGCGGGCCCAACAGCTGCAACATCTTGTGGCCCGAGTCGGAGAACGTAAGCGGCCAGACTGCGTTCACGCTCTACTCCTTCATCCTCGGTTTTGCCATCCCGCTGGTGCTCATCTTCGTCTTTTACATCCTGGTGATCCGAAAGCTCAAGACGGTCGGGCCCAAAAACAAGTCGAAGGAGAAGAAGAAGACGCACCGCAAGGTCACCAAGATGGTGCTGATCGTCATCACGGTGTACGTGTTGTGCTGGCTGCCGTACTGGATCACGCAGGTGGCGCTCATCTTCACGCCACCCAACCGCTGCCAGAACAACTTCACCGTCACCGTCTTCTTGTTCGCCGGCTGCCTCAGCTACTCCAACTCGGCGATGAACCCGATCCTCTACGCCTTCCTCAGTGACAACTTCAAGAAGAGCTTCATGAAGGCGTGCACGTGCGCGGCTGGCAAGGACGTGAACGCCACTCTGCACATGGAGAACTCCGTGTTCCCCCGCGGCCGGGCCAAGGACGCCAACAAGAACAACGCCCTGAAGGCCAAGAACAGCTCCGGCCTGCTGCACGCGCCCGACGACGACGACGGTGAGGTGGGTCCTCTCGTGAGCCGGGCGGACCAGTCCACCACGGCCATCACGATGACATCGCGCTCCAATGTAAGCAGTGAGGTCAACAATTCGATGACAACCATCAAAAACGGCACCAAATCTGGCGCCACGTTGATGCCGACGCAACTCTAGGACAGCGCCCAGGGACGACAGCTGCTGGTCACTCACCTGTAAGCTGCCGTCCCTGAAGAGTGTTCCGGCTCGAGGTCCAGCCCCCCCTCGGGCCGGGACCGGAAAAGACTTAGCTTCCGTGCCAATGTGTGGTAAAAGGCTGCCAGCATGCGGCCCTGTATAGTATGAAGTGTATACACACAATCTGGGACTATTTTTAAGTGTACAAGATTAGATCTGTTTGGTTATATCGTCTAAGATGAAGTATTCGTTTTGTGTGGTAAGGACGGAGAGGCGGAAATCATTCCGTCTTAGCTGCAAGCAAATTGTGGATCAAATTTACCCTGAAAATGGACGGATTATTTTTTAATCTCAACTTATTGAATCTGTGGTAGTTAGACGTAAAAGTTAAAACTTTGATTATCTCCAAAGATATTTTATTGTTCCATGAGATCTTTAAAATATTATATCTGTATGAAAAAGTATGCATTCGTGTGTCATAGTTTGTTTTCATTATGTTATTATCTGTGTAATTTATTGATTTATATTGCAATAGTGATGTAAGAATGTTCCATCAGAACTCCCCACAGAAGTAATTTATTAATTTATGAATCATAGGAAGGAGGAAGGTATACCGCACAGACCAGACCATATCAAATGCTGTAAGGTTTCACTTGTTGAAGATGTGTTACTGGATAGAGTGCGAGACCCATGCTCTGCGTGAATTCTAGCTCAAAAGTTTGAAGTTGATGTTTTGTTTCTGTTTAGGTCTTTTATCGATTGAAAGGTATATTAAATAAAACGTTTTATTGCCTTTTTTTATACTTAACGTATTTGCCTGGACAACATTTGTTTCGATCATTGGGTCACATACCAGACCAATTCATGTATTTATGTAAAAACTTGTTTTTACATAGTCATATCATTTATTCAGAATTTATAACCAGATATTGTTGAGTTCCTGATAACCAATCCAGCGCTGGAGCTGCCCTATTTATGTGAACAGTATTAGCTAGTATATAGTTGTGGGATAAATTGTTGACCTGTTTACCTCCATTCATAAGATCTATCTGGAATGTGAACTAGCATAGTAACAGCGATTAGTGCGTGGGTAGCTTAGTCTGCTGTACATTGTTTCACGCACGTTCAGTACCTAACATTCTAGTCTTGATCATAGTTATATTTTGCAAACTTGGGTGTAAATGCTATATGTGTTAACCACTGATGCAGCCTCAATCTTAACTTTGTCTTTGTGATATGGCTCCGGTAGCCAAACTATTTGCCAGTGTACATGTATCTTAAAACTAGCTATAAATATAGCTAGTTCATTAATTTTATAAATGACCTGTTGAACATTAATTACTAATCGATTAATCTGCCTCTGTTGTGAACAAATACTACTAGACGGCTGAAATTCCTTTTCGCAGTGATGTACTGTTATTTACTTCGATTAGTTCCCATCTCTTTTACAAAATGCATCGTCCAGTGTTTAATTTTACCTCAGTTATGGCCACCCTCTTTTTAGAATGCAAATGCCATATCTCTCTGTAAAGTTTTGGCGTCTAATAATTCTCTTGATGTGCCCAAAAATATGTCTTTTGAATTAAAACAAAGTCTTTTCGTAAGAGGTGTGTCATTAACCCAATCCTGAAACATAAACCCCGTCAATTTGTGTGTAAATAGTGACTCGTTCTCGCCGCAGGGCTGGCCTGGATCGGCATATGTGCACGATCTTCAATCACTTTAACTTTTGATCAACATCGAATTAAACAAAACACTTGATGCCAGAATAAATCACTGCTGAGCGTCAGTGTCAGCGATGCACGTCCATGTTTCTCTTGGTAACGTGCCTCCTTGCCAAGAGCGAGATTGGAAAACGAACGTTCGCCTCAAGAAGACGTCGGTGCCAAGAACACGGGACGCTTTCATTTGTCAAATCCAGTCAGCAACCCCTTTTCTTCTGTGCTCCCTTCGAGAAACTTTTCTTCCAAAACAGGGGCTTTATGATAAACTGGACATGCCGTGGTAAAACACTCTACTCTCAACATTTGTTTTTTGTTGTAGTGGATGGCGTGTGTCTCTTTTCATCCTTTTTTCTACGTTGGGTTCCGGGAACAATGTTGATCTCTGCATACTTCTTGTTTTAGTATGCAAATCAGTCCTAACTAATTTCAAGTTTGAATGACGCGTCGAGGACGTCCGTCGTTTTCTTTTTGGCCCGTCTCTCTAAACGCGGCGTCTCCCAAACGCTGAAAGGCAAATGAAGACGTCAGAGTTCACTGGACATATCTCTGTCGGCCAGGAGGAGAATTAGGTATGCATGCCTGTTGAGATTGGCTGGGATCTCGCCGGTTGCACCTCGAAGCACCGCGAAGCGAGTGGAATAGCAATGAGGAGCAGGGCGCCCATTAACCCGGGCGCTGCTCCCCGGCTACCGAGGTGAGAAACATAGAAAACAAAACGAGCCCCACAGAGATCACTGTTTCTTATCTTTCAATTAAAAAATTTGAAAGCATCAACGACAGACGCCGTGACCCCGACAGCATCTCGCTGGACGGAGTGAAAAGATTTTTTTACCGCACCGTCTGCCGGGGAGCGCCGTTCGCGTTACGTGCACTCGCATGCCAGGCGCTGCTGGGCGCTGCAACAATGTCCGCTTCAGGGGCGACGTGGGTGACGTGCTCACATGGCGCCACTTGAGGCGGAAGGATATAAGTTGAAGCACGTTTTCCCGCCCTCTCGTCATATAGTTGTTGACCATAAGTTTCTATCCTTCCGTCCACTGCTCACGCTGGGGTTGTTCCAACAGACAGGCACGGTCGGAAGTAAAACATGTGGGAGCACAAAAGCGGGACGCGCATCATCGCGATGTGAAGAACGCACCCCCCAAAACAGTCAACTGAAACGCCACGTGTATTTCTCATACCAACGACGATTGTGTGCTACTCCCGTTCTCTATCATTTCTCCACTTCCAGTGCAGCGATTCCTTCAGGAGCCGCGAGACGACAGCGGCGGCGCCTCTGTCTACCTCCGAGCTCACATGTCGGAGACCTGAGACCTTCCCCGGTCCTGCCCTCTTGTTTGAGCGCGGCGTGGGTGTGTCTCTTCGCCTTCCGGCCCCCGCCGCCGCCGCACGGCGACTTCCCTCTATCAGAAACAAACACGCCAGGTCGTTTCCCTGCCGGCTGGCCTCGTTAATTTTAACGACAGACCGGGGTCAGGGTGAGTTTCCGCCGCCCCGGGGATCTACGCCCCGAACCCGGCCGAACCGCACGTTGGCGGCGCCGGAGCCCGGGCCGCCGCATGAGCCGCCGCCCGCCGCCCTCCCTCCTGGGCAATGAGCCGTGCGGGAAGGACAACAGGCGGGAGAATGATGACGGCAGCTTTCTAATCAGCCCGACGGGTCATCAGCCTCGCCCATATTGCATAGGCTGCCTGCGGAGCGCCTTCCTTGACCTTCCAAAACAGACTATTCATGAGCATCTATGTTTGAAAGAGAAGGGTGATGCGTCACTCCCGCGCAGATTTATCTTTTGAAATGATTAAAATTGTTTCTAGCAACGTCCATTTTCGACCCAGGAAAATTGTCTCGTCAACTTCCCGATAAGCTACCACAAAATCCCGGTAAACAGTGATTTCTGTATTTATTTATGTGTTTTTATAAGGCTCCCATTACTCCTGACGTGCCAGCCACGGACATGGCCCGGTTGGGGGTGGCGCAGTGTATCATCTCCACGGTACTCGCCCACAACAAACTCGCCTGTCCGCCGCCGCAGCCCGCAGTGCGACGCCAAGTCGCTCCCGGAAGTCACCAAAGCTGCCGTGACGGAACGGAACGGTTCCCCCCGGGCCCGGGGGCGCCCCGCTCCACCCCGCCCCTCCGTGTTGTCAGTCAGAGGTGGCGCCCCGCCCCGTCCGTCCGGTGTCCCGCGCCGCCCCGCCCCGCCCCGGCCTCGTTGCGTTGCTCAGATCGGAAAGACAAACTAATGGAGGAAACTTTTCGTCCTTCCTCAAACGGCTCGCTTATCCGGCGGCGTCTCCCACGCCACGGCCCCCTTATTCTCATCAACGTCCCCTTAGGGGTGCCACTTCCCTCGCGCCGCGCGCCGACTCCCCGAAGCTCATCACCGTGGTGGCCGCTTCCTTAGGGTGCC